ATAATGGACTACCCAATCTTGAGGTGACCTCGGCGGGCGAGCGTCCTGCTGGATAGGCACGGTGGGGCGTACAACGGCGAAGCGCTCCTTCTGCCTCGGGCGACCAAACTTTCCAAATTGAGTCATATGATAATTTTCTGATTGTTGTGTTTTCGATTTGGGGCTTTTTTCGTGACAGATGATCCCTTTGGGAATGGCTTCTCTCGCCCCTGCAGCTCATGACGAAGATGCTGAGGAAAGGCACACCGCTCCTCTGTTTATTTGCTCTAACAACTTGGTGTCTTGTAGTTCCGTGCATCAATACTAAGATCGGCCTCCTGCACCACCACCATGCCATTCCACAGCTGTTTCCTAGCCCTGCGTAATTGTGGACGAGCTTTAAAAGATATGTAGCATATTTCGCGTGCAGCATCCGAAGCTTGCCTGCTTACCGCCGTACAGAGTGGAATCTTGACTTATTCCATCTAAGCTTTGTTAATCTAGCTTCGCATCTCGTGTTACTCACTTTAACCGACATGTGGTGAACATGCATGCCCGTCGACGACTCGTACGATAGTAAAAGATCTGCTACATAGAAAGCAACCCTAGCTATAAAGCTGTAACTTTCCAGTACGGAAGAAGAAAAGAATGAGCCCAGCGCGCCCGCTCCAGCTGCATTATTCGCATCGTACTTTGTGAGCTGTGGAGCCTCCATCATGCTTGAGTCCTGCGTCTCGGCAAACTAGTAGGCGGAGCTACTAGCGACTAGCAGAAAACTATAGTAGCACAGTCTGGCGAAGCTTCCTTGATATACTGCATACCGGATTTCAGAGACTAATTTTAGTGTAAGTAAATGCACAAAAATTGACTAGGCAGAAAACCTCTGCAGTTGAGTTGGGCGTTTACGATAGATCCCTCTGACGCAAAGATGACTGCGTCTAAAGGCAGAAACTAGCAGAGAGCATATATGTGATCTCTCTGAGAAGAGTTGTTCGTGGAACTTCTCATGCACCGTCAAATGTGAGCGCCACGTGTTCTCACGCATATTATTTGCATACTGTGCANGTGGAACTTCTCATGCACCGTCAAATGTGAGCGCCACGTGTTCTCACGCATATTATTTGCATACTGTGCAACAGGGTAGATGCAAGCTAGCAAGCTAACGAAAATACCATCCGATACAGCACGATGTTGTACAAATGGTTCAGTGCGTCAACTTGCTTGAAAAGGTGTTGCAAATGCCCCCAGCACTTCGGTTTGGAGTATCGAAAAACGGGAGAGGAATCATATACCGATCTATTCACCTGCACCCAATGAACGAAATCAAGCATTAACTAGGTACACAGTCTTGGAAAGATGCACAAGCATTCGAGAACCCTGCGCGCTTTTGAATATTGCACAACGGGACTGTGACGGCCAGCTTCAGCGTCAAAAGTGCGGTATGAAATTGCAGCAGAGCTCTGATCTACGGTGCGGCCAAAACAGTATTATGAGCATTCGCACAGCAAAAAAAGGGTAGCGGAGTACGCAGGGCGCGCAGCCGTACTCAAATGACCACTAGATTTTGTTCAATGCAGACGGCCGCCAGAGCCGCTAACGTGTTTTTTCGCTTCCCACTGGTGTAGCTCGCCCGTCGAGAGCTCATTCATGCCTGCTGACCAACGCTCAAGAGGCGTGCTGCTTATTCACGGATTTGTATTTTCGCGAATCTTTTCGGCTCATTCGTGTCCGGTCTCGGCATCCTTTACCTCCCTGATGCGCAACAGCGATAAAAGCGAACAGCACTAACAACCACCTGCGAGTGACTGTTCGTGTTNTCTTTTGTCAGCGCTTTGCCGCAGGTACACGGCTTCCCATTGGCGAAGGGTTGCTCAGCTGAACAGAAGCCGCAAATCATTCGCGTCGCCCATTCGTGTTCGTGATCTTCAGCGCTGTCGTGGCACACATCACACGGGTATGCCTGAGCATGGGCACACACATATCGAGCACACGCCCACAAGCTCACACAGCTTCTATCTACCGTAGTGCCGCAACTGGCGCCACGATTTTCCTCAAATGGCGTCAGCAAAGTAGTGAAGATCCACATGCTCTTGCAAGCAGCGCATATGGCTTGCCTTTCCACAACAAGGAAAGCGAAGCCACCGATATGACTTCTTGTAGTGCTTGCAGGTCCCAAAATCTGCTAGTGGAGATCCGATGACGATACGGAGATCTTGTTTCCGCTGTCTCTGTTGGTTACTGCACGACGGACGACTTCTGGAAGGCACCGACACAAGTAGGCATGCAGCTTTACTTAAAACGATACACCGAACTTGGTTCCCTGGCTGAGACGCCCCAAAACTAAGGCTCTAGCCGCACCTGCTCCGCCTCAAAATCAACAGCGTGTTGCACTGTCGAAGTTGCTCACAAGCTAGCCCGCCACTCTGTGTCGGATCTAGGCCATTTTACTGTGCACACTTCACCATGTCGGTGCAATTACAGAGAAACACACTGTATAATGAATTTAGTATATGATGAAGGAACAGATGGCTGCTAGCCGCCTACCTGGAGTCGGATGTGCCTAAACCGCAGACTACTGTAAGCCCGAGAGCAGCGCCTTGGAAGCCGAATGTGATTTTTGAGTGGCAGTGGCGACAATGATTTGTTCGTGGAGCGCCTGTAGAGCCAGCAAGAATCCAGAAGCGGAAGGGGGTAAATGCTGGTATGCAAACATGGACTTGGTGACCATAGTAGGGTTTCGATTTTCTAGAATCCACAAAACCAGCAGGTTTGCGCAGGACATGTAAGTAGCGGACGACGTGGCAGGGCACCAACTACATACCACTTTGCACTTCCCGAGCCTTCATGCTGGCCCCGCAGCAGTCACACGCCAAAACGAAATCGCATGGTAGCAAGTCCTTGAGATAACAATCCATTGGCTGGACAACTGCCACGCGCATTAGCTGGCTTCCACCAACGCCAATGACTGGCTGCACTCTTATGCCCATGCGCAGTTGGCATTTGGCGCAGCCCACGGTACAGCCTGCAGCATGCACAGAGATTCGGCCGGGTTGTATTTCTGTACACGGAACTCTCTTAAATTCGCCACGGGAGCATCGTGCATACAGGGCCGGAGCGATGTAAGCTATTCAACTACACAAGATGAAGTCTGCTGAAATCCACTCCAACTTAGAGGCAATCGAGAGTCATTCCCCGTATCGTTCCAGCGAAAAATGCATTGCTGAAATATCATATTAAACAACCGAAGCCAATGCATAATGCGCAGCGGAGGGACGGGGTCGACAAATTCTTAGCATTGGAAAAATTACCTGCAGGCTCCAGAGAGGCTCCATCCTTTGGCAAGGAAACGCGCAAGTCCACTATGGCTCTGCACCGGCCACAGGTGACTTGGAGTTGAATGCAACTCAGGTGCAAAGAAGACGCTCCCTCTACTGTGCTATCAATGAGAGAAACATCGCTACCTCGTAATGCTTGAGACGCTGCCTCTTGCGTCTGCAGCTGAACTTCCCCATCTTGTCTTTTACTGTCGAGTACTGCTTCATTCGTGCTATCGCGTGGCTCCTCTACTTTGTCAACTTTGTTGATAGTCGCTTCTTCTGCTGTTGCCTGGGGCAGCCAAAACCATAGCATGCATTCCAATACATGTGCTTTTATCAACTTCACGTCTTATTCCTACTGGCGTTCCCCCGTTACACACGCAGAGCAACCTGACACGTAGGTGGCAGGATTAAGAACGACCGTTTGTATTCTCCCATTTTCAGATTTAAATTAAGAAAGAAAGTGTAGGCGTATTTACCTGTTGAAGTTGACTCAACACATTTTCTCTGCAGAGTTGAAATCTAATGGCACATTCTTTGGCTGTGCGGCTCCCCACATGACTGCTGATGTTCCGCCAGCGCAAAGTTGGTTCGGCCACCCGACGGTACAACACCACGGCCTCCTCCAGTCTGAATCAAAGCGCAAATCGAC